AGAGCTGTAGCCGGGTGTGAGACGAGGCTTCTCCTCTGCTCAGTGGCCGTCACTGGCCTTTCAGGTGTGGGGTCTGATCCCAAGTTGGTGAAGCAGAAGCCCTGAAGGTCAGGCCTGCTGTGACTTTGTTCCCCTTAAGTGTGTGCTTTCTACTTTCCCAGCACCATGACCCTTGACCCAGAGTGGGGGAGTGCTGAAGCAAATGGGGCCTGTGTGCACTCTTGGCTTGTTTTGCTTGCAGACAGATTCTAAGCTGCACCGCCTTGCAGGTGCCAGCAGTTGTTTCTCCCCCTTCATTCAGACCCCAGCCAATCACACCCGCAGCCTCTGCCACATTGCCCTCTCATGAAGCCACACCACAGGGCACGTGGGGCCTTGTGGTCTCAGTGTGTATTGGGAGGTGAGCTGTAGGGGAGTGGCTGCTGTCAAGAGTTCTGGGCTGCTTCTGATGCACTGCCTGAGTATGTGCCAAGAGTGGCTGTCACTGCTCTGCAACCGAGTTGCCTCTGAATCCACAGCTGAGCTTTCTCCTGGTCATGTGACCCCCGATCCAGTACCACTTGCAACATGGAGTAAGCAGGCCTGGAGCCTTTGCTTGGCTTCGGCTGGGATATGCACTGAGGCAGTTACAGGAAACCCTGCAGCCACTGGATGGTCCTCACTCTGTTCTCTCCTCATTGCCTCATGGGCAAACCAGCATGCATGCTTCTCACAAATGGATTCCAGGCTTCCCATACTCCTCCAGTTAGTCCCAGCAGTCCTCCAGCCAACCACGGGCCTGTCCCCCCTGTGTTGGACCCCAAGAGTGAGATGCCCAGTCTGTGGTTTGAACTGCTCACTCCCCAGGGCGGGTCTCCACCCATGTAATCTTTCTTTTCTTCTGTGTCCCCTTTCAGGGGCACAGGTCCCGACCTTATCATGTCTTTTCCCTTCCTACCTGATTCCATGTGGATCTTATAGCCTTTCTTGTATGGGAGTCTTTCTGCCAGTTTCCAGTTCATCTTCAGTGAGAATTGTTTCACATGTAGATGTACTTTTGATGTGTTCATGAGGGGTAAGTGAGTTCCACATACTCCTCCTTGGCCATCTTGATTGATCCTTTGTTCTTTAATTTTTAAAACTCACTTGTAAATTGGCTGGGCCTGATATTTTCTTTCTGCCAAGGTTTTTTTAAAAGAGAGATTTATATGTGTTTTAGTTTTTTAGTATTTTTATTATAAGGAGTTATGAACACATCAAAAAGTAAACAGAATATTATAGTTAACTCCATGTATCCCTATACCCAGTTCCAACAACTGTCAACCCATGGGCCACCTGCCCCATCCTTACCCCTATCCACTTCGCCCAAGGAAGGCTGGGGATGTTATAGTGAAGGAAATTTAAGACATTTGAATATCTGCAGACTCTTTTTTAAAATATATAGCCCAAGACCATTACCATGCCTTAAAATAAACAGTTTCTTAATATCAAAGAGCCAGTTGGTTTCAAATTTGATGAATGTTATAAAAGGATTTAGTAATATATAAAAATATTCTGTATAAATAATGTATTTTAAAATTTATTCATAAATTTATACATAAATTGTGAATGCACACAGATTGATTTATTTCTTTGAATTAGGATCCAGATACTGTCCAGATATTGTGATTGGTTTGAGATGCCTTTCCAAATGGATAGGTGTTAAAATCTTGTTAATGATTTCTGATTTGATTGGTTATTGATTTCTAACTTAATTTCATTGTGGTGATAGAACGTTATGAGTTATTTCCTTTGAAATGTACCAAGGTTTTCTTTATGACCTAATATACACTCAAGTTTTAAAATATTTCTTATTTGCTTAAAAAGAATATGTAATTCTCTTATTATTGGTTGTGGAATTTTGAGTTAGTCCATTAAATTAAGCTTTTTAATCTTAATTTCTCTTTTTTCTTACACAATTTTTTTTTTCTTGGGGAGACCAGGATATGTGTTTTACAGGATTTTTTGTTTCAGTGAGCATCCACGTGGTATAGTCTAACATATCATTCTCCTCTTTTGCATCTCTGTATTTCCATGAATTCATAGTTGGATTCAAACAGTTGATTAGATTAAGACCTGAATTTCTTTTTCCAGGGCTGTTCATTGGTGATGATGTTTCCTTGATCATGAGGCTCGTAGTCTTCTTTTTTTGTGATATTGGCAGCCATTGATGTTCAATGCCTAGATCCTTTAGTTTATTAAAGAATTTGAATTGATATGCAAATTGTTACTTATTTGGCCAGTGGAAGCCTTTTCCGGACCTTTTGGCACAACCCTAAAAGTTTTGGATGGCTTTCTTGATATTTGAATGGGAAGATGTTACAAGGTCACCATGTGTATTTCCAGCCCCAGACCTAGAATTGGCCATTTCTCCAAGGAACCTTGATTCCGTTTAGGGGGAAACAGTGCTTGAAGACAACAATCTGGGATGCTAGGAGTGTGCATTTCTACAGAATGCCTTTGTCATTATTTCTAAACGTTTCAGTGGACAAAACTAGAAAATTTATATTATGTGAGTGTGCATGTTTTTATTTAAAATGAAATACATCATGAGTTTAATCTGATACTTCCAATTCAAATTGAAGACCACAGTGTAACTTTTTCCCTTTCACGTCTTCCTTCTCAAGAATTCTGTTTTCTCAAGGACATGAGGGATAGGAGAATAAGAATAACCCATATTAATCATTTGCTGTCTTTTTCATCAAGTGATCTCTGAATAGCAATGCTAAAACTACCACTAACAGTATGATCACTGAAAATGAAAAGAATCTAGTGATTCACTTCACCTCATTGATTATAGGTGTTCTGGGGTTTTTTTATGTCAGTTTTGATAAATTACTTTTTTTACAGGAATTTGTCCATTTCTTCTAAATTTGCATAGTTATTGACAAAAGCATGTCCTGTGTCCATCTGTATCTTTTAAATCACTGCTGTCTATGTAGCCATGTTCTTTTTATTCTTAGTGTTATTTATGTGTACTTTCCTTTTCTTCTTGCTTTACATTATCAGAACTTTGTTGATTTCATTTTAGTCTTTTCAAGGAACAACTTTTGGCTTTATTAATTTCTTAATTTCTCCCCTTCCTTCTCTTTTCTTTGGATGTATTCTGTTGTTCTCCTCCCACTCCCTGCCCCCCAACTTCTTAGGTAGGTCACTTAGCTCATTATTCATTAGCCTTTCTTTTCTAACGTAAGCATCCAAGGCATTTAATGTGTTGTTATCAATAGCATTTTGTTATAAACTCTAATTATGACAGGATTTATTTTTCTCTGATAGTTTTATGAACTTTAAAAATTTTTTTATTTTATTTTTATTTATTATTTTTGGTTGCATTGGGTCTTTGTTGCTGCGTGTGGGCTTTCCCTAGTTGCATTGAGTGGGGGCTACTCTTCGTTGCAGTGCGTGGGCTTCTCATTGCGGTGGCTTCTCTTGTTGCAGAGCATGGGCTCTAGGCGCACTGGCTCAGTAGTTGTGGCACATGGGCTCTAGAGCGCAGGCTCAGTAGTTGTGGTGCACAGGCTTAGTCGCTCCACGGCACGTGGGATCTTCCTGGACCAGGGGTTGAACCGTGTCCTCTGCGTTGGCAGTGGATTCTTAACCACTGTGCCACCAGTGAAGTCCCCTTTTATGAACTTTTGGTACCGTGTTTTTGTTATCTTCCTAAGGTGACTCCCTTTCCACCCTTCTAGCAAAGCATTTTGTAGTCTTGGTTATTTCCCCTTATTTACTGTTTACATTACAACTTCATATATAGTATGGATATACCTAGTTTTGCATATTGGGTATGTTTCTGAATTTTTCTTTTCCTTCTTTCTTTTCCTGGTAGTTCTTTCACAAGTCCTCCTTATGTTGTTGAGTTTATTCCCCCCCTTTTTTTAAAGTTAAGTTTATCAAGGTATAATTTACATACAGTAAAATTCCTTTTTTAGCCTACAATTTCGAGATTTGACAAACAGATATAGTCATAAATCCTTCATCACAGTTAAGATACAGAATAGTTGCATCATCCCCAAAGATTTGCTCCTCACATTTGATAGTCACCCCTTCTACCGCTCTCTCTATGGTGCCTGTCTTCTCTGCATATTCAGACTAGTTGGTTTTTCTGTGACCTCAGCTCTCTGAGGAGTTTCAGAAAAGTTTTAATTTTGTAGATTATCTGGGCTTTGTTGTTGTTAGGGTGGGAATGGTGCTCTTTCCAGTTGGACACGTTATTTTTCTTATCAAGCCTTTTGCATTAACACTACCATTTGAATATCTTTCTCCCACATATGTATTTTTTTAATACTCATGTATATCTTCATTGAAGTTTTATTTAGTGCTAAAATGGTATCTTTGTTCATTTTGTAATTTGTATTTGAAATCTTTTAAAGTTTAAAGAGTATCATTTTAACAGGTAAGTTTCAAGTTTATGAATTCTCTGAACTTCTCCCTACTTTCTAGTTCTGTTTTTCAAATTAAATATTAGTATATGTTATCCTGAGTTTTACTCTACTATTAGAAGATATGTTTTGTTAATATATAATCAAAGGAATGATAGAGAAATTTCATGTTAGAAAAGTATATCGTTTTTTGATTTCCAGATTTATTATTCATTTGTACTTATTATTGTAGTGTACCTAGCTAATTTTAAGACCATGTGAAAATTCTTTGACGAATACATCTTTGTACTAAAGGAATTGATTTTTACTACCAAGAAATTATTCATATTGATAAGATTTGAAAATATTTCATCTGAGCTACTAACGTCTCTTGTTTTTTATAATGTGTTATTATAAATGGTTTGTGATAGCTTATTTCTTTAACAGCCACAATTTATTGAATTGATTTTAAATGCTGTTGTATTATTTAAATAAATATCTATGTAATATTTCATCATGTTGGAAATAGTATTGCATATGCTAATCAATTTCACCTCCTCATCACTTTTCATGGACATTAATAGTGACTAAGTTTTTTTTTTTTCTTTCTTTTTACCTTTCTAGGTTATTTTAGTGTCTGCCAATAAATTGACTCGTTATATAGAACCATGCCAGTTAACAGAAGATTTTGGTGGGAGTCTCACCTATGATCATATGGACTGGTTAAATAAGAGGCTGGTTGGTATATTACAATGAGAAACATGTTATTATATATAAATAAGACATATTTTGATAGCTTTTTAATTTTAATCAACTGAAAGGTAGATTGTTTACTTTTTACAAAACTAAAGAAATATAATGCATACCGCATGATAGCATAATGCTTGAAGGCATATACTCTGGAGTCAGACTCACAAATATTAACTATTACTGTTGTCATTAGTAGCAGTATTATAGTCAAAGTTGTAAATCTTTTGAGTTGAATAACAGCAGCATAATTTCCTGAGAGGTAATCTAGTTGATACACCAATTTTTTTTATACAGCAGGTTCTTATTAGTTATCTGTTTGATACATATTAGTGTATATATGTCAATCCCAATCTTGCAATTCATCCCACCACACCCCGCCCCCCGCTTTCCCCCGTCAGTGTCCATACGTTTGTTCTCTACATCTGTGTCTCTATTTCAGCCTTGCAAACCAGTTCATCTGTACCATTTTTCTAGATTCCACATATATGCGTTAATATACAATATTTGTTTTTCTCTTTCTGACGTATTTCACTCTGTATGACAGTCTCCAGGTCCACCCACGTCTCTACAAATGACCCAGCTTCGTTCTTTTCATGGCTGAGTAATACTCCGTTGTATACATGTGCCACATCTTCTTTATCCATTCATCTGTTAATGAGCATTTAGGTTGCTTCCTTGTCCTGGCTATTGTAAATAGTGCTGCAGTTAACATTGTGGTACATGACTCTTTTTGAATTATGGTTTTCTCAGGGTATGTGACCAGTAGTGGGATTGCTGGGTCATATGTTAATTCTGTTTTTAGTTTTTTAAGGAACCTCCATGCTGTTGTCCATAGTGGCTGTATCAATTTACATTCCTACCAACAGTGCCAGAGGGTTCCCTTTTCTCCACACCCTCTCCAGCATTTGTTATTTGTAGATTTCCTGATGATGCCCATTCAAACTGGTGTGAGGTGATACCTCATTGTAGTTTTGATTCGCATTTCTCTGATAATTAATGATGCTGAGCAGCTTTTCATGTGCCTCTTGGCCATCTGTATATCTTCTTTGGAGAAACATCTATTTAGGTCTTCTGTCCATTTTTTGATTGGTTGTTTGCTTTCTTAATATTGAGCTATATGAGCTTTTTCTATATTTTGGAGATTAATCCTTTGTCCATTGATTTGTTTATAAATACTTTCTCCCATTGTGATGGTTGTCTTTTCATCTTATTTATGGTTTCCTTTGCTCTGCAAAAGCTTTTAAGTTTCATTAGGTCCCATTTGTTTATTTTTGTTTTTATTTCCATTACTCTAGGGATGGGTCAAAAAAGGTCTTGCTGTGGTTTATGTCAAAGAGTGTTCTTCCTATGTTTTCCTCTCTAAGAGTTTTATAGTGGCCAGTCTTACATTTAGGTCTTTGATCCATTTTGAGTTTATTTTTGTATATGGTGTTAGGGAGTGTTCTAATTTCATTCTTTGACATATAGCTGTCCAGTTTTCCCAGCACCACTTACTGAAGAGTCTGTCTTTTCTCCATTGTATATCCTTGCCTCCTTTGTCATGGATTAGTTGACCATAGGTGCGTGGTTTTATTTCTGGGCTTTCTATCCTGTTCCATTGATCTGTATTTCTTTTTTTGTGCCAGTACAAAATTTTTTGTGCCAATACAAAATATTGTCTTGATTACTGTCGCTTTGTAGTATAGTCTGAAGTCAGGGAGTCTGATTCCTCCAGCTCTGTTTTTTTCCCCTCAAGATTGCTTTGGCTATTCAGGGTCTTTTGTGTCTCCTTACAGATTTTAAGATTTTTTGTTCTAGTTCTGTAAAAAATGCCATTGATAATTTGATAGGGATTGCATTCAATCTGTAGATTGCTTTCGGTAGTATAGTCATTTTCACAGTATTCATTCTTCCAATCCAAGAACATGGTATATCTCTCCATCTATCTGTGTTATCTTTGATTTCTTTCATCAGTGTCTTATAGTTTTCTGAGTACAGGTCTTTTACCTCCTTGGTTTATTCCTAGGTATTTTATTCTTTTTTTTGCCGTGGTGAATGGGATTGTTTCCTTAATTTCTCTTTCTGATCTTTCATTGTTAGTGTATAGGAATGCAAGAAATTTCTGTGCATTAATTTTGTATCCTGCAACTTTACCAAATTCATTGATTAGTTCTAGAAGTTTTCTGGTGGCATCTTTAGGATTCTCTATGTATAGTATCATACCATCTGCAAACCATGACAGTTTTACTTCTTCTTTTCCAATTTGTATTCCTGTTATTTCTTTTTCTTCTCTGCTGTGGCTAGGACTTCCAAAACTATGTTGAATAATAGTGGTGAGAGTGGACATCCTTGTCTTGTTCCTGATCTTAGAGGAAATGGTTTCATTTTTTCACCTTTGAGAATGCTGTTTGCTGTGGGTTTGTCATATCTGGCCTTTATTATGTTGAGGTAGGTTCCTTCTCTGCCTGCTTTCTGGAGAGTTTTTTATCATAAATGGGTGTTGAATTTTGTCAGAAGCTTTTTCTGCATCTGTTGAGATGATCATATGGTTTTTATTCTTCAGTTTTTTAATATGGTATATCGCATTGATTGATTTGCATATATTGAAGAATCCTTGCATCCCTGGGATAAATCCCACTTGGTCATGGTGTTTGATCCTTTAAAGTGTTGTTGGAGTCTGTTTGCTAGTATTTTGTTGAGGATTTTTGCATCTATATTCATCAGTGATATTGGTCTGTAGTTTTCTTTTTTTGTAGTATCTTTGTCTGGTTTTGGTATCAGGGTGATGGTGGCCTCATAGAATGAATTTGGGAGTGTTCCTTCCTCTGCAATTTTCTGGAAGAGTTTGAGAAGGATGGGTGTTAGCTCTTCTCTAAATGTTTGATAGAATTCACCTGTGAAGCCATCTGGTCTTGGACTTTTGTTTGTTGGAAGATTTTTCATCACAGTTTCAATTTCATTACTTGTGATTGGTCTGTTCATATTTTCTATTTCTTCCTGGTTTTGTCTTGGAAGTTTCTACCTTTGTAAGAATCTATCCATTTCTTCCAGGTTGTCCACTTTATTGGCATAGAGTTGCTTGCAGTAGTCTCTTATGATGCTTTATATTTCTGAGGTGTCTGTTGCAACTTCTTTTTTATTTTAATATTATTGGTTTGAATCCTTTCCCTCTTTTTCTTGATGAGTCTGGCTAAAGGTTTATCAGTTTTGTTTATCTTCTCAAAGAACCAGGTTTTAGTTGATCTTTGCTATTGTTTCCTTCATTTCTTTTTCATTTATTTCTGCTCTCATCTTTATGGTTTCTTTCCTTCCTAACTTTGGGTTTTGTTTGTTCTTCTCTAGTTCCTTTAGGTGTAAGGTTAGATTGTTTATTTGAGATTTTTCTTGTTTCTTGAGGTAGGATTGTATTGCTATGAATTTCTCTTTTAGAACTGCTTTTGCTGCATCCCATAGGTTTTGGATCATCGTGTTTTTGTTGTCGTTTGTCTCTAGGTATTTTTTTATTTCTTCTTTGATTTCTTCAGCGATCTCTTGGTTATTTAGTAAGGTATTGTTTAGCCTCCATGTGTTGTATTTTTTACTTTTTTTTCCCCTGTAATTTATTTCTAATCTCATAGCATTGAGCTTGGTGTGATTTCAATTTTCTTAAATTTACCGAGGCTTGATTTGTGATCCAAGATGTGATCTATCATTGAGAATGTTCTGTGGGCACTTGAGAAGAAAGTGTAATCTGCTGTTTTCAGATGGAATGTCCTATAAATATCAATTAAATATATCTGGTCTATTGTGTCATTTAAAGCTTTTGTTTCCTTATTAATTTTCTGTCTGGATGATCTGTCCACTGGTGTAAGTGAGGTGTTAAAGTCCCCCACTATTATTGTGTTACTGTCAATTTCCTCTTTTATAGCTGTTAGCATTTGCCTTATGTATTGATATGCTCCTGTGTTGGGTGCATATATATTTAGAATTGTTATAACTTCTTGGATTGATCCCTTTATCATTTTGTAGTGTCCTTCCTTGTCTCTTGTAAGATTTATTTTAAAGTCTATTTTATCTGAGTATTGCTATTCCAGCTTTCTTTTGATTTCCATTTGCATGGAATATCTTTTTCCATCCCCTCACTTTCTGTCTGTATGTGTCCCTAGATCTAAAGTGGATCTCTTGTAGACAACATATATATGCGTCTTGTTTTTGTATCCATTCAGTGAGCCTGTGTCTTTTGGTTGGAGCTTTTAATCCATTCACATTTAAGGTAAGTATTGATATGCATGTTCCTATTACCATTTTCTTAATTGTTTTCTGTTTGTCTTTGTAGGTCCTTTTCTTCTCTTATGTTTCCCACTTAGAGAAGTTCCTTTAGCATCTGTTGTAGAGCTGGTTTGGTGGTGCTGAATTCTCTCAGTTTTTGCTTGTCTATAAAGCTTTTGATGTCTCCGTCAAATCTGAATGAGATCCTTGCTAGGTAGAGTAATCTTGGTTGTAGGTTCTTACCTTTCATCACTTTAAATATATCATGCCACTCCCTTCTGGCTTGTAGAGTTTCTGCTGAGAATCAGCTGTTAACCTTATGGGAGTTCCCTTATATGTTGTTTGTTGTTTTTCCCTTGTTGCTTTTTTTTTTTTTAACATCTTTATTGGGGTACAGTTGCTTTACAATGGTGTGTTAGTTTCTGCTTTATAACAAAGTGAATCAGTTATACATATACATATGTTCCCATATCTCTCCCCTTGTTGCTTTTAATAATTCTTCTTTGTCTTTAATTTTTGTCATTTTGATTACTGTATGTCTTGGCGTGTTTCTCCTGCCTGAGACTCTCTGCACTTCCTGGACTTGGGTAGCTATTTCCTTTCCCATATTAGGGAAGTTTTTGACTGTAATCTCTTTAAATATTTTCTCGGGTCCTTTCTGTCTCTTCTTCTGGGAGCCTGTAATGCATTTGAATAAATGTTGGTGCATTTAATTTTGTCCCAGAGGTCTCTTAGGCTGTCTTCATTTCTTTTAATTCTTTTTTCTTTATTCTGTTCTGTGGCAGTAAATTCCACTTTTCTGTCTTCCAGGTCGCTTATTTGTTCTTCTGCATCAGTTATTCTGCTATTCATTCCTTCCAGTGTATTTTTCATTTCAGTTATTGTGTTGTGCATCTCTGTTTGTTTGTTCTTTAATTCTTCTAGGTCTTTGTTAAACCTTTCCTGCATCTTCTTGATCTTTGCCTGTGTTCTTTTTCCGAGGTCCTAGATCATCTTCACTATTATTATTCTGAATTCTTTTTCTGGAAGGTTGCCTATCTCCACTTCATTTAGTTGTTTTTCTGGGGTTTTATCTTGTTCCTTCATCTGGTACATAGTCCTCTGCCTGTACTTTTGTGTGTCTTTCTGTGAATGTGGTTTTCATTCCACAGGCTTCCCGATTGTAGTTCTTCTTGTTTCTTCTCTCTGCCCTTGATACACCATTTTCAGAGAGGATATTTAGACATCAATTTGAGTTGAAAAGCAGTTTGACAGGTTAAGGTTTTCATTTCTGAAAATATATCTTCTTTTTCAGGGCAGACTTTGGAAATTTGCCGCTCTGTATAATATAGTATTGTTTAATTGAACTGCCAGGGACTAAAAGAAAAAACTTAAAATTTGCTCACATTAGATTATATGCTAATTTTTTTTGAAGAATAATGAACTTTTGGATATTTGAGAATGGATAACCAGTTCTATTTTCACCATATTTGAACAATGATATAAAACCAATGAGTGTCTATTTTATTCTAAGCAGACTTGCCCAAATCCCTTTTTTGAAATATTTTAAGAAATCATGTTAAGATTATAACTAATTTATTTTTATGCTACATGCTTATATATAAAACTTTCTAAGTATTAACATGCAACCAGAATGATTAATAGAATAACATAAAGAAAAGTTCTTTAACTGGAATTAGAGGGTTAGAACTGGTCTGAATAATGTTCATGTAGTTAAAACTGTTGTTGGTACACATATTTCTCAAGGGAACAGGAATAAATATAAACTTGTCTCAGGAATAAAAATAATTTCTTAATGTGTTTAAATTAAAAAAATTCTTTATCCATTAAAACTATTCATTGTTTTAGGAAGCAGTTTTGTCTTCATTGTTTTAATTTTGTCTTCATTGTCTAAATTGTTTATGCTGTGTGGTCTGGTGATTAAAGTGTACTAAGTGAGGTCCAGAGAGGGAACCAGAATCCTGCTTGACTAATTCTGTTGCTCTTAGTTGAAAATCCTTATGTACATATCAACTTTTAAGATCATCCTTAACATGTTAATAAAATCTCATACTTTAGGTTTTTGAGAAGTTTACAAAGGAATCTACATCATTATTAGATGAACTTGCTTTGATTAACAATGGAAGTGATAAAGGAAATCAGCAAGAGAAAGAAAGGTAAGTGTCTAGTGTCCTACAATTACACCTTTGCAAAGCTATAATTAAAAGATAACCTCTGTTGTTAATGCAAGCCAAGAGAACTAAGGTAAGCAAGCCTCCATTCAATCAAACTTGGCCTATAAAAGTTGTATTAAATTTATTTTTTAGTACTTGAGAATTTGCTTTACACATAAAATTTATTGATTTGAATCCAGGTTTCTTTACAGAAGACTTTTAATTTTGTTGAATAATAATATATTTACCTTTTCCTGACACTGTGTAAAATAATTATTTTGCAAGAACATGTTTTCAGAAGGAAACAATTTTCTGCCTTTTTAGAGTTTTACTTTGCTTGTAAAGAATATGGAAAGGGTTGCAGCTTGAAATAAAATCATTATAACCTTATTTACATATGTTAGCACTTAAATGCCTATCTTGTGGAACTCCTACATCCTTGTAAAATATGTGATATTCATGAGTTTAACTTCGGGAATTTAGTATTTTATGACACTGGATCTAATTATAACTACCTAGATTTATCATTTTGCAGATTTCCATTGAACTTTTCAACCCCAACAGTTTTCAGACCAATTTCCTTTCCCCAGGTAAAAAGTACTGTAGGAAGCAAATTAATCCTCAGTAACAGAGTAGTCAGTAGGCAGTAATTTTTCATTAGGAAATTTGAAAGGATCAGCACTCATCCTTGTCTATCTTTTTTGAATCTGACCTTGAAAATACAATGGAACCTTGATAAAATGCATCTTGTTATTCCATGAATCCAAATATAGTCACAGACCAGTTAACTGAGATAATAATATAGGAGGGATGTGAGAAGATCATAGTTTAACACCAAATCTTGATTTAAAATAAAGTAAAAATATGAAAACAAATGGTTTGAATATAAATCTAAAGTTACAACAAACATTTAGGAACATTACTATCTTATAGATAGATGCCATATAAAAATGTAAATGACAATTTTACATATATGTAAATATGTGAGTGTGTGTATAGACATCACACACACATACTTAAATACTATGGAATTGAAAATATCACTCAAGTTACTTGACAAAAATTTGCCAAACCTCTTGCTTTCTGAGTAGTCCAGCAGAGTAAATCTGGTGTTTCTCAAAATCATGTTCTCCAGGAAAGACATCCTAAGAGGGTACTGGTAGAAAATGAGTTCATGGTCATAGAGTTTAATGCTGTTTACTATGTTTCCTTCTCTGGGAATGACTGTAAACATTTACAGATTACATGTTCTGAGAAAGTGTTGCAGTAAAGAAACCTGTTTAATTGCTTTCTTAAAATTTCCCGTACTTACACGACAGTGGAACCCTATCTTCTCTACTCAGTAGTATCTCATTCAGTGTTTTGGTAAACACTGGGAAATGATGGTTTGTGTGACTACATGAAGTGTCAAGTGAAATCTTGTATTTGCCAATCCCTCCCTAAGGAACTCAAGTGTTATTACTTAGTCTCTTTTAAACCCCACACAATGAAGTCCCTCTTGCAAATTTTCATCACCTTCTTTATGTCAGTCCTCAGGAAACATCTGGGCTATACAAGAGGTGAAGGCCTAGATCAGTTGACAAAAGTGAAATGTATAGAGCAAGACTTGTCAGTTACAGTAGCAAGGCCCTAGGCTTTGATTTGCCAGGTACTCTATCTTTCCTTCATCTTCTCCATTTTCCATATATGTTTAAGAAAATAAAGCCCATAGTCCAGCTGCAAGTGAAACATAATTAGTACATAAAGAGTGTACATCTGCTAGGGTACACATACATACGAATATCAAGATTGCTATAGATAGGTAAACTTTGGATTGGAGGATGGCTGCACACGATTTTAATGTTAACGTTTCTGGATTATTATATAGTGACAAATTTCAGTTTGAAGCAGATATCCAGTGGAAAAATAATAAAATGGATTCCTTTGATATACTTGAAATAATACTGTAGTTAATAATGATAAATTATATTTTTCCAAGTAGTATATTTTGTTTTTTATCACATAGTTATTTCTTTGGCTACTAGTGTTTAATTATCTGTAATGGGTTTCCTGATGCTTAAGAGAAATTAGCCTGGTAGGACAGTATGCTTCATATTTTCATATTTGTAGGCCCCTGTTTTGGTAAATATATGTAAAGGATTTTTTTAAGTTATATAAATAGAAATACATATAGTTAAAAAAAAATACTCTTTTGGTGCTTGCCAGGTCTGTGGATTTAAACTTTCTTCCATCAGTTGATCCTGAAACTGTTCTTCAGACAGGTAAGATGAAAAAACATATCAGTGATAATCATAATCCATTAAACCAACCATACATTAATTGGCTCATGAAATAAACATTGATTTGAGTATGTATTATGTCGTAGAAACTGAAGGAGAAGTGTTTCAAACTGCTCTTTGGTTTAGCCTAAGAGTGTGTTAATAGACTCTACAATATTAAAAATTATTAATAATGATCAATTATCTTGAAATATTTGAATTTATTTCTTTATGACATGAAGATAAAAATTTCTATTTGATGGGTTTGCTATGAGGATTATTGAATATGCATTGTGTTTCTAGCATTGTACTTTTATGTATTTTCATATTTCATTCTTCTAAGTACTCCTTGAGAGAATTAGTATTATTTTCTCTACTTGAGGAAGCCAAGGCTTAGAGATATTAAAAAGCTTGTTCAAGATCAAATAACTATTAAGTTCTACCACCATAGCACTAAAAAAAGGTCTAAATCCAAAGCCACTAGTTGTACTGTTTTACAATCATCTGTGTAAAAACACTTAGCACCTTGCAATGGCCTTGCGCGTAGTGTGTGTTCAGTGCTGCATGGTTTGTATATTCCAGCCCCAATAGCTTTAGTAGTAGTTTCACAGATTCTAGAGAACACATTGGAATTCTTTTAAATGAAAATACCTTAATTTTATTTCTAATATATTTTTCTAATAGGGCATAGTTCTAATCCTACTGCATAGCAGGTACTATTCTAAGCACTTTATGTATGCTAACTCATTTATGCTTCACTACAACCCACTGAAGTAGGTACTGTTGTCACCCCAATGTTAAGATGGGGAAACTGAGGCATTAAAAGGTTTAGTAACTTGGGCAGATTACACAACTAGTAATGCTAGATTTGGGACTTTAACCAAGGCAGTTTGGTTTCGAAGTATGGTCTTTGAAATCATTATGTGGTTCTGCTTCTCTAATGTAAATGTATCCACAAGGAGCACATTAAAGGTAACAGTCATCAAAGAAGAAAAAATATATATATTCTGATCTTAATGACTTTTATGGAAATATATATATAAAGAATATGAATGTGTGTGTGTATATATATAGAAAGACTTTCCATAAGTCTTCAAAACAGGTGTCCTTCCAATTATAAAGTATAATAAAGAGTAAAGAAATAAATTCTGAATATCTTCGTTGTATCGATTCAGTTTTCCCGAGTTTTTTCAGTACGATTTAGATCTTACTTCCTGAAAGAACAAAGAAATAATTGTAATCTGTGAATTACTGCATGTTTAGAAGGTACAAGAGACTGTCAGTAAAAATATTGCTTTAGATTCAAAACTTAGCTCCATGTTTATATTTGTTTTAAAAGCTGCTTAAGCCATTGAATTCAGAAACTTGTTACATTTGTATTTTAGAATTATCTGTATATGTCACTAAGTCCTTTTTAATATGCTATTGACTCTTAAAGTAGAAAGAGTATAAAATGGGGACGTTTAAAACAGTCTTGGATATTCTTCAGAAATTGGAAATACCTCCAAATCATAATAAAAACTGTTTCTATTATTTAAAGCCATTTAAGTTTAGGACATTTTCTTGAATAGAGATGAAGAGAAGAGAATTTAAATGTCTGCGTATTTTGGGTTCCTTAATGATAATTGGAATAGTATTATCCTAGAAAAACAATTTGCAATTTATTCACTTAAAAAAATTTTTTTTTTTTCTTTTTTGATGGAAAGGATAGTTTTCTTTGTTTTGGATGCCGGCAACTGAGGTGTAGGGCAGACTCCTGTCCAAAGGCCAACTCCCTCCTCCGCACCTGACGATCAGTGGGCAGGAGCTATTACAGATGGAGGGAGGGGGCTACATGCAGAAACAGCACAGTCAGCTGTGACAGTCATCTTGAAATTGGCCATCAGTGGTCTGACCAGCGTCATCTTGTAAAATTGTTAATGTTATACTTACAGCTTTAGATGTTACACATTCTATAATTTTAACTTCTTGTGCATGAGTGATTTTCTCCATGAGTTTGCTGTAATCAAATAACATTGAGTGCAGTTCTTACATTAGTGTGGCCCCTCACGATTCACAGTTAATATGTTGTAGAAATTTATATAAATAAAGATTACTTAAATGTTATTTTGTACCAGCAGTAAAGACTTTCTCCCTTTAATCATACATTTGTTACACACCAACATTTCTTTTAGGTGCTGTGATTAAGGTTATGGATTAATAGTGAAATCCTACAACATAATGCTTAGTATTGATTAGTACTATCAGACAAAACATACTAATTAGTACCATCAGACAGAAATCCCAGATTATAATTGTACTCTACAGAGAAATGGTTGGCACAATGTCCTGAGGAGTGAATCCACCAATAACAAGAATGTGATAGATAGAAAGATAGTTAGGTCTAGAAAATATATATGCCATATATACTATATACTTACTATATAGTATGGCATATATAGTATATATGACACAGATCTTCCTCAACTTACAATGTGATTACATCCTGATAAACCCATCATAAGTTGAAAATATCATGTTGAAATGCATTTAATACACCTAAAGTACCGAACGTCATAGCCTAGCCTAGCCTACCTTAAACGTGCTCAGAACACTTACAGTAGACTACAGTTGGGCAAAATCATCTAAAACAAAACCTATTTTATAATACAGTGTTTAATATCTCATGTAATTTATTGAATAATGTACTGAAAGTGAAAAACAGAACAGTTGTATGAGTACAGAATGGTTGTCAGTATATCAGTGTTTACCCTCATGATCATGTGGCTGACTAGGAGTTGCAGTTCACTGCTGCTGCCCAACATCGCAAAAGAGTATCGTACTGCATATTGCTAGCCCAGAAAAAGAAAAAATTCAAAATCTGAAGTACGGGTTCAACTGAATGCACCATCATAAAGTCGAAAAATTGTAAATCAAACCATCGTTAAATCTGGGACTGTCTGTATATGATAGAGCTATGATATACGACATAGTATATATCCATATGTATATGTATGCATGCAGTTTTCCTATTTATTTCTATATAAATTGAGAAATTGCATTTTAGTACTTAAGACCTGGTAGGTAAATATATAGGCAGATACATTCTAAAAATACATAGGCAGATACGTTCTAAAAATAAGGGATTAGAATTGAGAAGATTGAGAAGTAAGATTTATATTTCTTTATGGATATTAATTATAAGTATCTTTCCTTCTTAAAGGACATGAATTGTTATCCGAATTACAGCAGCGTCGATTTAATGGCTCAGATGGAGGGGTCTCGTGGTCTCCTATGGATGATGAACTGCTAGCTCAGCCACAGGTTATGAAATTATTAGATTCACTGCGAGAGCAATATACCCGCTACCAGGAAGTTTGTAGGCAACGTAGTAAGCGTACACAGTTAGAAGAGATTCAACAGAAGGTGATGCAGGTAGGTGTCTGATTCTAACATATTAAACTCTTTTTAAAATCTAAATTTTCTTATGTGTGTGTGTAATTTCTACTCTGTACCTGATTTTATACTATGCCTTATTTACATTATATAGAGAACTTTAGAAATGTCAAACCAGACTCTCAAACTATTTTTACAATTAGTATTTGCGTTTAAATTATATTATTTCTACAGTGATGACATTGAGCATTCAGCTCACTCTATCAGAATTTCAAAAATAACTAGCTGTTGGAAACATCACCTGTGGTCTCTGTATTCTTGTAATAAATAACATTTTATTGTTGACCTTAGATTTATTTTAAATTTCTAATAACTTTGTTGTTGTTGTTAATTTGGGCATTATGAAGAGATTTTCTGTCCTAGCAAAATGTTAATGTGTAATATAAGTAATTATAATATTAAGTTTCCTTATTTATGATACTGATAGAAAACTTCAAGTAGATTTAATTCTTATGAATTTTTAGTTCCTTTTAAAATTGATTTTTATAAGTAGGCTAAAAATGCTAAAAATCGATACTAAGGAAGACATTTCTCTATTTAGACTACATTCTGGATTTTGATCTGTTGAATTATTAAGAAGTAAATCTTAAATATTTCACTTTAAAAATCCAGATTAGAAGTGTCCCAAAGTTTTTAATCTAGATTCATTTATTAGATAAGTATTTGTTAAGTACTTATTATATAGAAGGCAGTGTGCCTTTTCTACAGGATATAAAGGTAAACTTGGGTTTTGCTACATTAAACTTAAGAGGGGAGAGAAAGTGTTAGGTGTCACAAGGGAATGACTGAAGTGCTGTGGGCATTCAATGGAGGGATTATTCCCCTGGTTGCAGGTGATCTCGGAAGACTTAGTGGAAAGAGGTAGTGCTTGAGCTTGTCCCCAAGAATGTGTAAGATTTCACCAGGCACCTCCTTTAGGTTTTAAAGGAGAACTGGCATTCTGTGGAGGAGAAAGAATAGCATGAATAAACAATTACATGAAATCCCAAGTTCTACTGAAGAAAAAGGCAGCAGTAGGCACCAGGGAAAGTGTTTGGCCTTTGAGTCATGGAACATAGTGAGCATGCTCTGAATCCCAGTTCTTCCACTTATTTGCTGTGTGATCATGGTCACATTATTCACCCACCTGAGCCTCAGTTTGACTTCTTTCTTTCTTTATTCCCCTTCTTCTCTTTCTCTCTCTTCCTTCCTTCTTTCATTACATAAAACAGGGGTAACAGGAGCTCTTTTGAAAGGTTTGTTGAAAGAACCCAGCACTCAGCTAATGGAAGCTATTTTATTTGTTCCCATTGAACTAGATTGTAGCCTAGAATTCTAATTCAGCTGTTGGAAAACTTGTTCTGTAAAGGGCCACATAATAAATGTTTAGGCTTCTTGGACCATACAGTTTTTCTTGAACCTGTGGCTATTTAACTGGCATTGTAATGCATAGTCATTATGTAAACAAATGTGTTTGGCTGTTTCAGTAAAACTTTATTTATACAAACAAGTGGTAGGCTAGAATTGGCCTGCAAACTGTAGTTTGCTGACCCCTGACTAGAGCATCAGGGTGTCATGGGGAAAAAGGCTTGAAAGGAGGGAAGGAGTTGGATCATGGAAGATCTTGAATTCCAGGCAACAGGATTTAGGCTTTATCTCATGATAACTACATAGAAACTGAAGATTTCTGAGCATATGTTAATTATATATAATTTTTTCTACATAATATATTCATAAATTAAAGATAGCTTGTATTAAACTCAGGTAAACTTTAAATAGCTTGAGAGTATCTTTGAAAACCATAAAGATGGAATAGCATAGTGGTATACAAGTACCCCAGTAACCTGGGTCCACTCTCTTCTGCCACTTTCAAGTTTGTTCTTGGGAAGGAAGTGTACTCCTCAATGCCCTAGCTTCCTCCTCAGTAAAGTGAGGGAAACAATAACAATAATAATAATAATACCTACTTAATAGGGCTGTTACAAAGATTAAGAAGATAATTTAAATAAAATGTTTAGCTTGGCACATACGAGTTTTTATTAGTATCATTTATTATTTGCTCACTCGTTAAAGAAATGAGTATCTACAATAGTGTGACATTGTGCTCGGTGGAATGTAATGGTGAGTAAAAACAGACAGGGTGTCCCGCCTTTTGGTGCATGGCTACGTAACTACACCAATAGTTGTGAAATTGCAACCACTCAAGTCCCAAGGAGAGTGAAGGGAGGAAGCGTGAGAAAGAAGATGATATCAGAGGTGAAGCATTTTTCTGGCTTGCAAGACTTAATGGATGATGGTGTTGTCTAATTAGGGAAATTGGGCAGGTTTGGGTTTACGTGCAGATGGAAGAGGTGTGGAAAATCAAGAGTTTGGTTTTAGACATGGTGAATTTCAGGAGACTTTGAGACATCTAAGAGAAGATATATAAAGGTAGTCCCAAACAGGTCCAGAAATGAGAAGTCTGGGCTGGTGACATACTTGTTTGTCATCTGCGTATGAATGGTAATTAAAGCATTGATGTGGGTGAGAATTTCCCAAGGAAAGAGCTGAGAGTAGATGAGAAGAGGGCTTTGTAACTGAGCTTTGAGAAGCTCCAGCATTTAATGACAAGATAGAGGAGCATACTCCTGAAGAGAAGGCAGTGGAGGATTGGCCAGAGATGAAGAAGGAAAGTGTGAACAGCTCTGTGTCATGGAAGTCAAAAGAAGAAAGCATGTCAGGGGAGGAGTTGGGAACCCTGTCGAATGCTGCTGGAAGATTGAAAAAGAGGAAGACTTAACATGTTCACTAAGAATCCACAAGGTCAAGGTCGTTGGTGATCCCAGGGTATGGAGTAGCAGGGCCAGTAGCACATTGGACTGAATTCAGGAATGAAAGTGAGGTGTGGTGAAGGAGACGTGGAGTGTAGGGAACTCGCTGAGAATTTTGTCTCTGAAGGAAAGATGAGAAACAGAGCATTGTGTAGAAGTGAGGGTGTATTAATTTGCTAGGTCTGCTGTAACAAAGTACTACAGACTAGGGGACTTAACAATAGAAATGTATTTCCTCATTTTTCTGGAGACTAAAAGCCCAAGATCAAGGAGTTAGCAGGGTTGATTCCACCTGAGGGCAGTGAGGGAAGGATCTGTTCCAGGCCTCTCTCCTTGGCTTACTGATGTGTTCTTCCTATGTCTTCATATGATCTTCCCGCTATACCTGTCTGTGTCCAAATTTCCTCTTCTTTTAAGAACACCAGTCATATAAGATTAGGGCTCACTTTAATAACCTCATTTTAATTTAAGTGCCTCTTTAAAGACCCTGTCTTCAAATAAATATGGTTACATCCTAAAGCACTGGGAGTTAGGACTTCAGCATATGGGGAGTGTGGGGACACAATTCAGCCCACAGCTGGGGTCAAGTGTAGTTTATTTTTGTTAGTTTGTGTTTGTAATATGGAAAACTAAGAGGCTTAAATTCTAGGGGGAAAGTATATGTTTGGAAGGAGGAGTTGAACATGGAGGAGAGAATAATACTATCAAGTTCGTGACAAGGTGGAAGTGAATGGACTCCAAAGCAGAGCTGAAGGGATTAGCTTTAGAATGGAGGAGGGAGAGCTCTTCCTTTGTAACAGGAGGGAGATGGTAGGATGATCCAGAGTTGCCTTCATATATATAAGTCAGGCATCGAGAAGATGAAGTAGTTCTTGAGTGATTAGGTTTTTTTGATTGTTTTTTGTTTGTTTGTTTTTAAGTAAGACACAAAGGGAATCTCTTTGGTGGTGGAGGTTTGGAGGCAAGGCAGGGATGGGGAGGGCAGTGGTTAAAGAGGGTTAGAGGTTTAAATGGAGTGGAAATGATTCAAAATTTTCATTTTGGGGATTGGAAGAGTGAAATTACCATGGAAGTATAGATGTATTTTTTAGATAGTGCTGATCTTGAACTTACGGTGGAAACTTTCTGGCCTGTTATGTGACCCTGTCAATTCATGGCTGGCTGTTGATGTGCAGGCCCCAGAGAACGTGGGTGATGGGATTCCCCCAGCATTTGTGCTTTGCTATGTGACATCAGGGGCAAAGGAGTTAATGTATTGACATGCATTTTTGAAATGACGGACCAGCTCAACTGGATAAAGAATAAAGAAACTAGAGAAAGGAGATGATGATGGTACTTATAATGATGGTGGTAATGGTCATGAGATTATTGTTAAAAACAAATAAACCTCATTGCAATTCAATTTTCTTTATAAGCGTTACATGTGAATTGGTTAGAGCATTAATATTCACCAGGTGATGGTTTCTACACTCTTTTTTTCACAGGTCACATTTTAGGGAAAGATCTATTTCTCTTGCCAAAATGATTACTTAAGTTTAGCTATTTAGAAACATATATTGATCATGTCCACACACACAGAATATAAACTACCATCTTCAGTCTTGCAAATTTGGGGGAAAATGAAATTTTTTGATGTTTATATAAAGATAATCATAAAGTTGACTACCTCTGCTTGTGTAAAATTAATGAAAGTTGAAATTTTCCACATCTCTTTTTTTACTGATTTATCACTGAAAACAAAACATAATGAAAAAGAAACCAATAGCTCTAATAGATAAACTATATGGTAATAACCATTGTAGTTGTCAGCCATTTATTCCCCACAGTTCAAATTGGTAGCATTAGACTTCATGTGGAATGCAGAAGTTCTCCATGTTGCTGCTGCTACATTTAAAAATCAGATTTCACGTACTTCTGGATAGGAGATGATGCCACTTCACTGAAATAAGCTATTGTTATTTTCATTATTTATTGTGGCAGTAATTTCTGCCAGCATTGCAAATGTTATTTCTAGAATCATCCATGTGATTTTCTTCCTTTGTAGAAAGGAACCATAGATGCAAAATAGGATAACTCTGAGTTGCTAAAGTATACAGCTGGAGGCTGTGATCCCAGTTCACCATATTCTTTCTTCTGGTCAGATGCTTGACATCTGCTTGATATGCCGTTCTACCTGGTTTGACCTAACAT